AAAGCCGAAGTGTATGACAATAGGAGGAAGGCAACCATTAAACAGGTTCTCAGATAAAATTCGTGCCGAGGTACTTTAGGTATTCGATATGTCAGACATCTTGCTGATATTTGATGTCTGTTCATCAGTTGATCTTTACTTAAAATCTTTTGTGGCCAGGTTGCAAGAGCTGGTTATATGGAGGTGCTCACATTTATCTTGTCTTCACACGAAGAAAACTTTGACATGTTAAACAGAACAGATGATAAAAGTAAAGCAGTCATTATCGCAAACCCTCGCACTTCTGAATTCGAGGTAAATTTTCCCCGATTTTATCGTCACCCACCCCGGTGCTGGGTTCAGCCATCAGCCAGCTCTCCTATGTGCTCTCAATTGACTATAGTGCAAATAATAGTGTAAATTTTTGGTTGATTGATGCTTTTCTTGCAAAACCAAAAAAAAGTTAATTTGTAAACTAATTGCAGGATAATCATCTTGCTGCGTTTATTTACTGATGCATCTTGCTGGTGTATCATGATTCTGTGGTTTCTGTTATTCTATGACTTCTAGGTGTAATTAGCCGTACATTCTTGTGATCCTATCGTTTAGCTTTTGACTGTTCCTCCTTATTTGACTTCTCAGCCATATCTTTCATTTTAGTTCTGCATGTTCTACACAGGCAACTAGGGACGGGCATAATTAACCAAACCTGAAACAGAACTGAACTAACCCAGACCGAATCCTAAATGACAGAAACTGATTTTTTTGGGTCTCTAATTCGGCCTCAAGAACTAACTAAATGAATTAAGTCCCCGGTTTATTCGGTCTTAACCTGGTAACTGAAGAACCTGAAAAAAACAGCACTGCACATAGAAGTTGAGTAATACATTCGGCCTAGCCCAATAACCCTTCCCAACCCTCTCTATATAAGAGATATATCTCACTCTGATTCCTCACCACCTGCCCTCAATCCGTCCACTTCCTCTTTGTCACCCACAACACCCCACCTGTCCTCTCTAGCATTGTGGCGGCACATAGAGACGAGTCAGAGGCGCCGGCACGGCTACGCCCCCCTCCTCCTGACTCGACCACTCGGTAGTGCCTCAGCGGGTGCGCCTTCTGTCACATATGTAGAGCTGTTGATAGGCGGCTGACCAGGGAGATGAGGTTGCCCTCTGAGCTGCAGTGAGAGTTGGCCATCTCCTCCCCAGTCCCTGAGGACCAAGTCAGTGAACACGTCTAGCTGCCGCTTGCCGAGGCGGCCACCGAGCTGACGGCAACGGCTCCTCCCTGCTATCAGCAGATGATTTATACTTCATACTTTGTTGATCTGTGTTTCGTCATGCTCATTTGTGTTCACTTACAAAATCTACCATTATATTACATAGGTGATTTTGTGATTTCTTATTCGATGCGTGTATTGCTAGCTTGGTTAGTTCAGTCATGGCCGAAACCGAACCAAACGAACTGAGACCAAATTTGCTTCATCTTGATAATTTTTAGGAACCAATCAGTACCCAGTTTTTGGTACCTGAAATTTGAGGAAAACTGATGAACCGAACCAATTGATTGTAAGACATAATCTGCTGCTCCCCAACTCTCTCTTTTCTGCAGATTAGGGATTGGAGCTGGTCAGCTCGGCTGTCCACTCCCTACTGCTGTAGCAAGTAAGGCAATAGGCCATCTAGTACATGTAGTTGGTAGCAAATACATCAACCATGTCTTGGTAGTGGGCTGATCTAAGCAATGTACTGCTAGTACTAGGAGTAGATGGGGCTGTACTCAGCCATACTCTTGTGTACCTTATAGTTGGTACAAGAGTTGTATATATACTACCTCAATGCAATTGGAAAAGGTAGTTCTGCTGAAGCAACATTCAGAGCAGCAAAGCTGCTGCTCGGCTCTGTGTGCTGTGCTCACCCTTTCTTCTACCTCTAGCCATAGTGTGTGTATGTGCTGGTAAGCGCTGCTTACCTGTGCAGGGAGTCGAGGGACCAACATTGATTTGGTCTGACCGAATGTCCACCTACTGATAACTCATGTTTATTCTCCATATTTGATTGCCAAGGAAATAAACGTTGTTCTACAATGTCATTCATTTGCTATGATCATTCTTTTACTTGTTATCTTGTTGGTTTGTTATAATCATTTTTTTCCTTGTTACCTTGCAGGTTGTTAGAACTAGTCTGATGTCGTGTTTATTGAAAACACTGAAACATAATATAGACCATCCAAGACCTATAAAGGTACTTTTTGAAAAGAAGTGATATTTATATTTGCTATATAAGTGATAAGGATATTGTCTATGGAATGTTGTGTCACGCATAAAATGCCAACTAACTAAAGAAGAAACCAGAAAAAAACTTCAAATTTCTCTTGCTGTCAGTAGTGTCATTTTGCCTGTTGTTTTCCTTTCCCTTCCAACCTAATTGTGATTGCATGATAATACTCTCCTTCAAATACTACATTTCAACCATAGTATAAGCCCATTTAGGATTTCTTGATCAAACCTTTTAAACATAGACAATGAATGTCTAAACAATCAAGTAGATTGGTAACATTAGTTTGATGTTGCTAGATTAGTTATAAAAAGTACTTTTTATAATATATAGCTCTTTCTATTTGGAGCAACATGTTATTTAGAATATTACCTGTCAAAGTGTCATTGGAGACCATGTGTCAATGTTCTAATGGATTTTGGGATTAGAGAAAGTAACACTCTAGTCCAATTTTACCAATGTCGACTTTAATTTATCAATGCATAATCAATTTTAAATGGAAGAGCTTTAATATAGCTTCTATTGTTGGATATGCCCAAACAGTTACTGTTGCTATGGTTATGATCTTCCTTCTATAGATGGAAATGTTCCCATGATTTTGATCTTTCAAATATTTACCATTGTAGATTTTTGAAGTTGGTGATGTTGTGATGCTGGACTCGTCACGTGATGTTGGTGCCTCTAATAATCGCAGGCTTGCAGCTCTGTACTGCAATAGGGTTTCTGGATTTGAGGTATACGCTTAAGGAAAAAAACATCTGTATAGGCATGTATTTACATAGCTTCTATGTAGGCCAATGCTAACTTGATTAAATTGTCCAGGAAATTATGGGATTGGTGGATAGTATTGTCAAAGTTGTCAGAGCTCCGCATGTCAACTTTGGCGAGAATTATTATGTACCTACTGATGTAAGCGTAACTTCATAAATTGTCTTGTCTTTCGCTGTTGTCAACATTTATATACTGATTTCATTTCTTTAGGAACCTGAGTTCTTCCCGAAAAGACAATGTAAAATTGTTACAAGTGATGGCAAGCAAGTTGGCTACTTAGGAATTGTCCATGCTGAGGTATTTACTCTGCCCTTGCTTTTGAATACAGTTATAACCTGTGCTGCTTAAGTACCAGTAGTTTAGCTGCCATATGAATGAAGATTTCTGAGGATGAAATGAATAAAGTTAGCACCATATTATATATTTCTTTTTGTTAGGTAGTACAATCTTATATGCTTGAATTATGAGCTACTCCAATTCCGTAATTGATCTGTACTAAAGAGTAAGAGATGGTACTGGCAGAAATAAGAACTTAGGTACACGAATGATATTAACATGGATACACGTGATTTGTTTTGCCAAATGTAATAGCACTATTCCTTGAGTGCTAGTCATACTCTGCGTTTCTTGCAGGTGCTAAGGAAATTTGGCATTCCGGATCCCTGCACTTTCGTTGAGATGGACCTCGAAGCACTGTTGTAATGCTGTCAACCTGAAACAAGGATTGCTTGAAGCTGATACCTGCAACATATTGGGTTTGTTCAGTAAACAAAGGTTTTGTTCAGTAAACATGGATGAAGTACCCAAGCTGGAATATCTCAATGTACTTCTCAACTGCATTGGATTTTGCTATGAGAAAAAAGTACAACGATACAGCAAATACCCGGCCTAGTTTTCACTATGTTTCCATTGTAAGAGCTCATTCTTATCCAACTTTCTATCAAAAGTGTATCCTTTTGTAAACCATCGGGTGTCCAAAAGTTATTTCGGCAACTCTTTGCACCTCTACATGAGATCACCATGATGTAAAGCAACCTCAGAATTTTAGACTTGCAATCTCCTTGTTGAAACACATTGGACAAGGTTCCCATGAGAACCATCTCTTGTGATTGTGAATGACCTTAAAGTTTGACATGTTGCAACTTTTCACGAATCCGTGAGTGTTTACTTTTTGTCGCCCCCTGAGCCGGTCAAGAGTGAAATGGAACACGTTTACCCAGTATTTATCATAAAACTTAAATGTGCTAATAATAACTCACTAAATAGTAAATAGAATGTAAGCATGACAACGGTGGTTTATCCTAGGAGGTTCTTAAATTTTGTGAAAGTTGAGAACTATTGAACGATAGCTGTCGTTGCTATGGTCAAACAGCCAAGCCACCACTAACGGCAAATCTAAAACATGAAAGGAAGAATCCCATTTGCATGTTAAAACTTAATACAATCTCAAATTTGTCATCTTTCATAGTCAACTCTCCCTTGTAAAGTCATTTTCGTTTTATTTGATTCGATGGCAAACTTTTTTTTTTCTAACTTTGACCAAGTTGTATAGAAAATACCCGTGCATGCACAACATCAAATTAGTTTGTATTAAATCCAATTAATGCGAACTCGAATTTAAATGTCTATTTTCTTTTCAATTGAAAAGTTGCCGACATAGTTCCTCCAATTGGCTGGGTGGCTTCGAGCAGGAGGAGAGCAGTCGTCTCCATACGACGTAGTCACCTCCAACTCCAGAAGCTCCCTCTCATCACTCCAGACTCCAGAGGCCAGTCACCTGGCATGGAAGCTCCATAGTTTAAACGCACCCCTCTGACACGTGTCTCCTTCCTGCCACACGTGTCCACGCGAGCAAGCCTCGCACGTATTTAGAACGCGTCTTGCGACGATCCGGCGGCCTCTCAGATAGACTTCGACTCGATCATCGCGCCACCAAGCAACCTCAGCACTCTCACCGGGATCGTATCTGCCATGGCGGCTGCCGCGCACGAAGCAGGCATCACCCACCGTGTTGCTGCCAGTGGCAGCAGGGACGACGGCGCAAACGACAGCGCGGCGGCGGTCTCGGGTCCCAACAAGAAGCCGGGCGGCGGCGGCCGCGCCAGCAGCAGCAGCAGGCGCGGGCTCCGTTCGCTCGCCGCCGCGGTATCCCTCTCCGCGGCGCTGACGGCGCTGTCCTTCTTCGCCGCGAGCTACTCCTCGCCGTCGCCGGCACCACCCAAGGCCGCCGCCACGGCGTCGACGACGACGGTGGCGATGGTGCGGGCGGGGTCGGTGGCGTCGGAGGCGGTGCTGGCGCTGGCGGCGTGGATGGCGTGGGCGGAGGGCGGGGTGCACGCGCGCCCGGCCGCCACGCTGCTCCCCTACGCCGCGCAGCTGGGCGCCGCGCTCGCGTGGGCGCCGCTCGTGCTGGGCCGCCACGCCGCGCCGCGGGCCGGACTCGCCTGCTGTGCCGCCATGGCCGCGGCCGCCGTCGCGTGCGCGCGCGGGTTCGGCGCCGTGAACCCCGTGGCGGGTGATCTCGCCAAGCCCGCCGTCGCCTGGGCCGTCATCCTCGCCGTCGTCAACTACAAGATGCTCTGAGTGAGCTCTGGATCACCAGCGCGCGTTGTTCATGTTCGATCCATCTTGTGCAGCAGGCCTCCGCACCCTCTTCTTCTTGTTCTTCTTTCTCGCGAGTGCACAGTGTTGGGTGTGATACGTCTGTATACTGTATGACACTTTCTAGCTACTTGCTCTACTACACATGTACTCGTCGTGTGTTAACATTACATATATATCCTCTGTTCCTTGGTTTACTCTTGTGTGCATTTCGGTTGTGATGTATATATGAATATATTTGGAACTGGAAGAGATGGATGTATGCTGTTCACAAGCCATTCGATCAACGCAAGAATACAGCATCGCATCAGGTTGAAACAGTGTCTCTTTCTGGACAGAGTTAGGGAGAGAGATACAGAGGCAAGGCGATGGATCAGAGCAAATGGCAGCAGGCACACTGCAGAAACAGAACAGAGCCCGAGCTCTGGTGCATGAGCATCGCCACATCAGAATGCAATGCATATCAGCGCACCAAAGCACGAATACAATGATAGTATGATGCAAAAGCAAAACCCCAGTTCATCTTAGCTTTCGTAGTCACACTGATCCACATGTACCCGAACCTTTTAGACTTTGGTCGTCAGCTATTTAGATTTATATTTTCATTGTCAACATCTTTTTGCAGTATTTAAGCCAGGGACGCCAACAAACACATTTGAGGTATATATGTTATTTTTGCTTGCTTGGTCCATCGAAACCAAAAACCCTCTTGCTTATCTATCTCCATCCAATATGTAAACGGTATATATGTTATTTTTGTTTGCTTGGTCCATCGAAACCAAAAACCCTCGTGCTTATCTATCTCCATCCAATATGTAAACGGTAATGCTCTCTTTAGTGCATCCGTCGGTCTGGATGCGCCAGGGCTCCTCTCTCTCTCTCTCTCTCTCTCACGCTCCCTTCTCTTGTTGCGCCACTCTCTCTCAAGTTCCCTTCTCTCGTCGCACTGCTCTCTCTCTCTCTCTGATTGCTGCTCGCATGCACGGACAGGGCTGACCGAAAGCCCAATCATCGTAGTTGCTGCCTTCCTTCTGGGCCTCTCACGCCCCGCTCCTAGCTCCAACAACGCCGCGCTCAGGCTCGTAGTTCCCCCATGTGCATGCTCGCCGAGCAAATCCCGCCAGCCCCCCTTTTTCCTTCTCGTCGCGGCCACAGGACAGGAACCGTGGTGAGCTGTCGCTGGTGGCCCTCCACCCAGCCAGCCACGCTACCTCCGAGTCCGCCTCGTCTCCCTCCATCTCCTGCACACGTTCGTCAGGGTGGACATCTGCCGGCACGTCGCTGACACTGGTGCCACCTCCGGCATGCTGCTTGTATGCAGGGCCGGCCCTACACTTGTCATACACCGCGTCGACAAGCGTTCACTCGCCCAAGCAGCAAGTAGATGTTGCGCTTGAAAGAGAATGTTGCAAGCGTATGTTTCAAGTGTTTCAGATGTTTCAGAGGTATGTTGCAAGTGTTTCATAAGGATGTTGCAAAAGTAGATCGGGATGTTTCATATATTGCAATGGTTGTACACATATGTTGCAAGCGTCTATTCCAAATGTTTCATCTGTTTTTCAAACGTATGTTGCAAGTATGTTTATCTGGATGTTGCATATGTTTGAAACATATGTTGCAAGTGTTTTATCTGAATGTTGCATATGTTTTTCAAGTGTTTTGCAAGTGTTTTAGACGCATGTTTCAAGTGTTTCATATGTATTCAGATTTCAGACGTATGATGTGTTCATCTGGATGTTTAAAAAACAGATGAGGTGTTTCAGCAAGCGTCCGAGTGGGGAAAGTAGAGGGGGCGCGAGCGGGGTCTCCGTGTGAGGTCAGGTTGCACGGGCGACGTTTGGATGGTGCGGACCCCCACGTGGGCATGCAAAACAGAGTGCAGACGCGGACGTCCAGACGCCCGCGTTCGGGCGCTAGCATTGCAAAAATTATGAAGTAATCTCTCCTAAATGTACAAGACCCATCCGCTCTCCTATCCAAGATTCCAACCTCTTCTCCCCACTTATGAAGAGTATTTAATAATCTTTTGGATTGGAGGCGAAAGAAGAAAAAGCCACCCTACCCATAATACATGATCTCCCAACCATTATAAAATCATCTGTAAATATCTACTGCATAAAAATGACATCATTATACTTGTATTCAAAGCAATTTTATAAGAATATAACGAGTCTTTAGAAACTGATTGACATTATATTTTAATACAAATTACTGATTAGTGTTTGTAAATGTTGACTTTGCCCCTCAATTAAATACAGCCGTATAGTGTTGTTTTGACAACTTAAACGACGCACACGAGAAGGTATGATGGCTGCTCCCTGCGAGCTTATTCCATCCAAGGAAATGGAAGCAACCGGAGCTATGTTGAATGGTGGCCAGAATGAAGCTTTAATTCGTGGCTGTTCGTGGACGCGTGCGTAGCGCAGTGGAGGCGCCTCCCCCTTCCCAGTGACGGCTAAGGTGCAAGGTGGATCCGTTTTCTCCACGACGGCTCTGTCGAAGATGAGGACGACAACTACGGTGTCAACAACTTTCTAGGCACGACGACATGGAAACTTAGTTTTCTGAATGGCGACATCAAGGCGGAGATGATGTTGCTGCCGTGGAATAATTTTTTCGATCTCTTATCCATTTTGCTGTGGTTAGATCTGACCATTACGAAGGACTAAGAAGAATAAGTTTCAAATCAGTCTTCCTTATTCTTCGATGGCACAGAGAAGAAGATGAAAGACACAAGAAAGAGAAGTTTCTTAACTCCACCGGTAGGAATGTTGGCCATGTTTGTTGGGCTAATTCCTATATTGTATATCTACACCATTATTGGAAGTAATTAGTGCAGTGTAATTAGGCACGCTAATTACGGGAGAAGATTTCTTCCAATTGCCCGGACAACCTGCGGGTCCGCGCGCTGCGCACCGGCCTGTACTCAATCCAACTTGATTCAGACTCGATCTCAAAAAATCTTGAGATTCGCCGCCGCCGCCGGCGGCCAGCAGCAGGGCTGGGTCCCGGCCTCTCGTGTGTGTATATACTCCCTCCAGGTCGATAAAAAATCGTTTTGGGCTAGGATTGAATGAAACATCAGGAATATAAATTATGAATAACTTTTAAGTTTTTGAGTTTGAAATTATGAAAACCACGTGAATAAATTTATCATGAAAGATACTTTTTATAAATATATACATTTATCACTTTTAAATAAATATTTTTATAAAAATAAGAAGTCAAAGTTATACTTAGAAGACCATATCACTGTCTAAAATGACTTCTTTTAATAACCTGCAGGCTGGAGGAGTATATAAACCTCGTCCTCGTCAACGAGGAAACGGAACACAAAGTTGTTTGTTCTTTCTCTGCAACGGCCACGTCGGCCAGCGGCGCCTGCACCATTGCACGTACGTACGTACAGCAGTAGCATAGCGAGAGCGGGAGGCATGGCGGAGGACGACGCGGTTGCTGCTGCAAAGAGACTGCGACGGTGCACGGACGGGGGCGGGGACATGATGTCGGCTTTGCCGGAGCACGTCCTCCAAGAGGTCTTGTCCCGCGTGGGCACCGTCAAGGACCTGTTCATGTTCGCCGCGACATGCCGCCGCTGGCTTGGCCGCTTCACCCACCGGACCTTCCTCCGCGACCTCCTGATGTGTCCAGCCCAGGGTCAGGGCCTCCTCGGCTTCTTCTTGCAGGACGCCAGGCAACGGGTGAGTGGGTGACGATGGGGACGACGCGGGTGGATGCGGCGCGGCAGCTCGCCTCGGCCTGCTCCTTCCTGCCGGCGGCGCCCGGCCGCCGGTCGTCGCCGCTCGGGCTTGCTGCTGGCACCATGGCTCGTTCCCTCACCTCCTCCTTGGTCGCCGACGGCGATGGCGCCTTCGACTACGCCGTGCCCCTGGCGGCGCGCCGCGCGGCATCGTCCTCATGCAGCACGTCCCCCGCCGCCACGACACGCACCTCCTCTTTTTTTTTGAAAGAAACTATGGAGCAAATGCTCCCCAGCACCGCACCAAATATATTAAATAAAAGGAAGGGTACAAGACATAGAACGTACAAGACAGAGAACTTACAGAGGAGTTAGCCAAGAGCTAACTAAAGAGAGGACTCTCTAAACAGAGGACTCTCTAAACAACAGCCTAGAGAAGCAGGGAGAAAAGCCTATAAACCGTTGAGCCAATTCATTACAGAAAGGTGGTTAAAAGGAATTAATTCTGTACAAATGAAGTTTAACTTCATTTTTGAAAGAAAGCTTCCAAGCAGCCAGGGAAGGCATCTTGCCATTTAAGATCCAGCATGCTGCTATCATGGACACCTCCATGAAGAAGGGCAACTATGGCACACTCCTTTGACTCTGTAACATCTGAAAAATACTCCCCTGCACATTCCAAACAAAGCCAATGCAGAACCAGCAGGATACTGCAGTTGAGCATTCAAAGAAAAGGTATACTAATGTCTCCTCAATGTTATCCAGACACAGTGCACAATTGTAACCCTCGTCCAAATGTTTGTGTCGGCGTCTTAACATATTCCGGGTATTCAGCCTATCATTGAGGAGCAGCCAAGTAAAGAACTTGATTTTTGGTACACACTTTGATTTCCAAATCCATTGCATGGGTCTAGGGGGGGTGAGTGCTTTGAAATGTTGCTTGTAGAATTTCCCAGAAGTGTAGAGAGACCCCCAGATGAAAGTCCATGTCTCTTTTTGGTCAGAGAGGAGCTCTGGTCATTCATGATCTGATAAAAAATGATGAATTCATCATATGCAGCTCGGTTTAGGGGTAACCTGAAGAGATCAACTCGGTTTTCCGCCTGACAGCCTTTTTGCAGAGATAGTGTGCCCTGTCTAACATAATTTTGCAGCACTGGGAATTTGGAGGCAAGTGTTTGGTCCAAGTAAGTGTCATCCCACAAGCTGATTGTATCTCCAATTCCAGCTGCACATGTAGCAACTCCTCTGAAAGCTGTACTGAGACTGATTATATCCTTCCACCAAAAGGAGCCCCTTGGTGAAACAAGGTGAGGCACTTTTGAAGTATAATATGTGGACCAGATCAAGTGGACCCAAGGCACATCTACTTTGTTGTAAAATTTGGCTAACTGCTTACCAAGAAGAGCATCATTCTGTAAATACAGATTTTTGACTCCAAGACCCTCTTTCTCCTTCGGAATGGTTACCATAGTCCAGGCAGCCAAATTGTATCCTTTCTTGTTGATATCACTGCCTCTCCAAAGGCAATCCTTCCTATATTTATCAATGACTTTTACAACTGTTTTGGGTAGCTTCAGAGTGCACATATAGTAAGTAGGCAGGGAAGAGAAAACTGAGTTAACTAGCTGCAGTCTTCCAGCATAGTTGAGAAAGGTCGAGCTTGCTGAAAGTCTCCTCTCAACCCTACAAATGAGTGGTGCAAAATCCTTTACCAGGGGCCTTGTAATGCCCAAAGGCAAACCCAAGTAAGTGAAAGGAAGTTCTCCTAGAGAGTATCCTAATATCCCTGTCAGCAATTGTATTTTCTCTGCTAGCACATTGAGAGGGATTAGACAGGACTTGTTGTAGTTCACTGACAAACTTGTTGCTTCTGTAAAAGAGTTCAACAGTGCTTTGAGACAAAACAACTGTCTAGCATCTGCTTGCAAGAAAAGAAGGGTGTCATCTGCATATTGGATAACAGGAAAATTCTCTATATCTATCTTCCAGGGATGGGCGGTACAAGTAAACCCCTTTGATAAGCTTTGTTGATAATACATTGGAGAAGCTTAGCTGCTAGTACAAAAAGAAGTGGAGAGAGTGGATCACCCTGCCTTACGCCTCTTTTACATTCAAAATCCTTGCCTGGGACACCATTTAACAGAATTGATGAAGTTCCTGTGGTAATGATGTCTTTGATCCACAAATTCCATTTTTCTGGGAAGCTCATGGCTGCTAAGATTTGTAAGATGACTCCATGCTCAACAGTATCAAAAGCTTTAGCAAAATCTAGCTTTAAAAGAACAATTTTCCTTTTTGAATGATGACATTGATGGATGCATTCAAAAGCCCATGCTAAGCAGTCTTGTATGGACCTGCCCTGTAGGAAGCCATACTGATTTCTGTGCAAAACACTGAGGATAACCTTTTGGAGCCTGTTGGCCAGAATCTTGGTCAAAAACTTCATAGCCGAATTGAGCAGTGATATAGGCCTGAAGTCACTAACTTTCTCAGGATTTTGTTTTTTGGGCACTAAAGTTATGTAAGAGCTGTTGATGCATCTAAGGTTGGCATTATGGTGAATGAAACTTTGACTCAGATTGAGGAAGTCTTCTTTAATTGTGGGTCAACACTTCTTGATGAATATACCACTAAAGCCATCAGGCCCTGGAGCCTTGTCTATGGGCAGGTTTTTAATGATACTCTCCAGTTCCTGTTCATCAAACGTCAAAATCAAGATTTCCAAGTTCTGGGGCTGGATCAAACTGGCAAGATTAAAGATCATTTGTGTGCTCTGTGTTACTCCCATTCTTCCTCTAAATTCTTGGTAGAAAATAGCTGCTTTAGCAGCATGATCAGCAACATGTCTACCATCATCTGCACTGATTTTGGCAATATAATTTCTCCTATACCTTTCTGTGGCTTTGGCATGGAAGAATTTGGTATTCTCATCCCCAAATTTTACTAGCTTTTCAGTGTATCTCTGTCTCCAACAAATTTGCTGTAGATTAAGAAGCTTCAGAATATGGTTTTTTATGATGTTCCTAAAATTTCTTTCAGGAGTGTGCAGAGCTCTGATCTCCTCTAGGCTGTCCATGAAAGCAATGATGATATTGCAATTCTGGATGAGCACTGTAAGCCTTGACTTAGATCTGTCCCACTGCTTGAGTTTGGCTCTCAAATTTTTAAACTTTCCAGAAATGAGTTGGGCTGAATTGATGACTGGGCATGGGTCTGACCAAGTGGCAGAAACTACATCTTGAAAGCCAAGGATGAGGGGCCAATAATTTTCAAACCGAAAAACATGAGCCTTGGGGATGGCAGTGCTAATCTGAACTTGGCATGGTATATGGTCTGATATCGGCTTTGAGCGGGGTAGGACTGAAGTGTTTAGGAACCAATCTAGTTGTTGAAGTAGAGGGTTGTCTTGCATATTGCTCCATGGATATGATCTTCCTTTGATGGGGAGCTCCATAAGACCAAGCTGACTGATGGCACTGTTGAAAAGGAGAATGTCTTGGTAGTTGCCTCCTGCTCGATTTCTATTCTCTAGGGAGCGATAGAAATTAAAATCTCCCAAAAACAGGCCAAGACTTTCTGAATTGACCGTTCTATTTTGGAACCAATCAATGAAAACTGATCTAGCTGGTTGCCTTGCTGGCCCATACACCGTTGTCAAAATCCATTTTTGCAAATTGTGAGTGGAGGTGAACTCTACGACAACTGCAAACGACAAAATCTCCTCGACTTCAGCAGAGAAAAGAGATGAATTCCATAGCACTAGGATTCCTCCTGAAGCACCAAGAGATGGGGAGTACTCAAAGCTATCAAAACGTCTTGGAGCAAATTTTCGAACAAACGCAATATCAAAAGATTCCCTTTTCGTCTCTTGTAGGCAAACTATAGAGCACGAGCTTTCATCAATCTTATTTCTCAAAGGTAACCATTTAGCCTCATCATTGATACCACGAATATTCCAGCATAACACATTCCAATCTCTGGTTTGACTAGCCATTAAATAAAACGGAATTAACAAAAAAACAGTGTGTGCACAGCACACACAAATCTAAAAGACAAGGACATAGTTACGCAACTAAGCGCTGAATAGCAAATAAGAATAAAATGAAGACTGCAGTCTTCCAGCAAGTGTTGAAAAATAGGGCCGATCTTCATTTGGACACTGTGGCGTGGAGTCTCTCTGAAGTAAGCTCCGAAGGAGGCACTTCACAGTATTGGGTACCCAAGTCTTGGAGAATCGGAACATGAATCATCTGGTTATTGTTGAAAACCTTTGCTTGCTCTATCTCAAGTAATTCTTTGAGCTGTGCGGGTTCTGGCACTGGAGCCGCTGTCTGCTGTTTATATCTCTTCCTCTCTGGTAATGTGTAGAATATATAATCCTTGGATTTTGACTCACTGAGTTTGGACTTATTGGTTCTGGTGCTGCGACGCAGCTCATCATCTACTATCGGTGTTGGTCTGTTTCGGGGCTTTCGCTTTGGTGCCGGTTTGACTGTAGCTTCTTGGCTGGTTTCAGACTGAGCATCTGCATTCTGGGATTCATTCTCTGATGGATAAGTCTCATGTGCTGGTCTTTGTGGGGCTGTGCTGATCGCATGGTCTTTGTGGCTGCATGGTCTATTTTTAGGATAACATAGGACAACATCTTAGACTAGAGGACGGCATCTTAGAGAAGAGCATCTTAGCATCTAGGACAGCATTTTAGAGAACAACATCTTAGCATCTAGGACAGCATCTTAGAGGACAACATCTTAGCATCTAGGACAACATCTTAGATTAGCATCTTAAACTAGCATTTTGGTATATGCTTGGCTGGCTAGCAGCCTATAAATATGTACCCCTAACCCTTCAGGTTGGTATGCCATTTGTGTGAGAAATAAACCAGAAAATTGCCCTAACTACTAGTGTTATCCTTTCTCGATGAGAGTAAGAATTCTGCTACTACCAAGAGTAAGAATTCAGCGACTAATAACTGGTATCAGAGCCGTACTATCCTGTAGCCTGAGCATC